AATAGCCAATAAAAAAAAAAAAATGTATTTCACGACTGCATACGGTCAGTAAACAAATACATGTAAAGAAACACAATCATTAAGGCTCGGCCAGTTCACAAGGCAAAAGAAAAAACACTTACCAGTTATGAAAGTTTATGAACATCAGGTGCAGCGGTCACATAAATTCTGCCGAGAGAAGGGTTGTATATACGACAAGACGATAATTCTTCCATCGTGCAAATTATGGTCATTTTCATCAGTTAAGGCTCGTTAGCATTTGGCCTGCTTTAAATCAGACACAGAGATGCAGTGCGGTAAGATCGCATTTATTTGAATTAATTATATAATTTATTTGAATTAGCGAGAGAGAGAGATTGATGAAATTTGCGTGTGTGAACCTGCTCTTGCGCGCCTCTCTCTACAAGCAATGAGGCTGTTACTTTAAAAACAGCGATTTTACCCCCTAAGTGCAGAGAAATATAACGTTGCCAGTCAGTAGCCTGTCCAAGCTATTTTACTAATAAAAGTTTCCGTGCTGTGTTGTCGTGTGCACTAATGTGTGTGCGTGCGTCTATGAAAGCAGCGTCGCCTAGGCTACTGCATATAGTTTTAGTTTAGCTATAAACCCGAGCCCGACCCGAACCCGAAGCTATTCATTTAACATTAACCCGAACCCGACCCGAAACCCGAAAGTATTTCGGATTCATTAAACATTAACCCGAACCCAACCCGAAAGTATTTCGGGACGCGTCGGGCTCGGGTCGGGTAGCAGACCTCTAGCCGGTGCCTCCTGAACTGTAGTAGACGCGATATAATGGCAAGTGGAAATATTGGTTTAATTAAGCCATATGTGTTTGAACCAGAAATAAGCTGGTATGCTCAACGTAAGCAAGGAGACTGATGGCTAACTTCGTGAGTTATCATTATCTGTTTGCGCTGGATACATGGATAATGACTGATAAAACAGTTTTTACTAGCGGACAACTACAGTGGATACTGTAACATTCGTTAAATTTACTTAATTGACGATGTTGTGTCCTCAAAATGCCTTGAAGACTCAAATGCAGCCAAATTTGTGATTCCAAATCGCGCCCGCGATCATACGCGTGTGACGTGCGGATTTGAATTAATTATATAATTTATTTGAATTAGCGAGAGAGAGAGATTGATGAAAGTTGCGTGTGTGAACCTGCTCTTGCGCGCCTCTCTCTACAAGCAATGAGGCTTAGTTACTTCAAAAACAGCGACTTTTACCCCCTCATTGCAGAGAAATATAACGTTGCCAGTCAGTAGCCTGTCCAAGCTATTTTACTAATAAAAGTTTCCGTGCTGTGTTGTCGTGTGCACTAATGTGTGTGCGTGCGTCTATGAAAGCAGCGTCGCCTAGGCTACTGCATATAGTTTTAGTTTAGCTATAAACCCGAGCCCGACCCGAACCCGAAGCTATTCATTTAACATTAACCCGAACCCGACCCGAAACCCGAAAGTATTTCGGGACGCGTCGGGCTCGGGTTGGGTAGCAGACCTCTAGCCGGCGCCTCCTGAACTGTAGTAGACGTGATATAATGGCAAGTGGAAATATTGGTTTAATTAAGCCATATGTGTTTGAACCAGAAATAAGCTGGTATGCTCAACGTAAGCAAGGAGACTGATGGCTAACTTCGTGAGTTATCATTATCTGTTTGCGCTGGATACATGGATAATGACTGATAAAACAGTTTTTACTAGCGGACAACTACAGTGGATACTGTAACATTCGTTAAATTTACTTAATTGACGATGTTGTGTCCTCAAAATGCCTTGACGACTCAAATGCAGCCAAATTTGTGATTCCAAATCGCGCCCGCGATCATACGCGTGTGACGTGCGGATGTCAATGTGGGAGAGGTGCGTCTGACTCCGGGCTACTTTTACACTGCTGCCGCGGGTTATTATTCACGTTAGCAGTTCTAAATACACATAAATAAGCGCTAACAGCACATGACATCGTGAAAACATCTACAGAAAAAATATAACTGTTACTGGATTAACCTGGCTGCCTTCTCACTAGACCCTCTGCTTTGCAGCACAGTTAATGATATGCTAAGGATAGGATCCCTTGACGCGATTGGTTGAGTTTTGTGACGTAGCAAAACAAAGGCCGTTTCAAACCGCGTTTCTGTGACTGCCTTTGGGAAACTACCGTTTTAAGGAGAAAATACTCAGCAATGGTGTTGATAAATGGATTGGCACATGGTTTGTCTAAAAACATATTAAAAACAACACATAGACAAATAAACAACATAAAAAACTTGATTTTCACCACGGGGGACTTTAAAAAAAAAAAAAAAATTAATAAAGAGCATTCGTTTTTGATTGCTAATATAATATATTTCAATCATATCTGTCGTGTGTCCAGTATTTTATCTGTTCTATTCCCAAAAATAAATGATTTTATAGTATCCGTGTCAATAAACAGAAGTGATTTGACTAGCAGAGGCGATCTGTTTGTCTGTGGTAGTGTTAAGGTAATGTCAGTTTAATGTCTGTCATGTGTTTCAGGTGAGTCGTCTGCCTGTGGAGAGCTGTTCTCAGTACAGCAGCTGTAAGACGTGTCTGGGCTCAGGAGATCCTCACTGTGGCTGGTGTGTCCTGCATAACAAGTAAGTCAATGTCATTCCTCTTCCACAGACTAGAACAGTTATTCTGCACACTAAAATATGCTTGCTATGTCTCAGGAAATGAGGCATTACATGGTGTTTAAGAGGTCGGTTGTTTGTGTACATAAAAATACGAATATGAATGGAAGGTTTTGTGACATTTCTGACTATCTGAATGTAATTACAGACCTCATGAAATCGCTTAATATGCAGTTTCAGTTCTGTGTTTAAGTACTTCCTGTTTAAAGAAAGTTTGGATAGGTCATATTGAAGAGTGTCCTCATTTTTAGCCAGTATGCTTTAGTTTTGTCACTGCCATGAACTGTGATTAGCTGCTGATCGGTTGCTGGAAAGGGACATTATCATTCCTAGTGAGCATTTGATTGGACAATAAAATATGTAGTGCAGGATGAAGACATTAATATTTTTGCCAGAAGACGGAGACTGTAAAATTGAAATCCAAACACTAGGTTTAGGTTCAAAATAATTTTTCAATGTTGTTTAAATGCTCACTGAAGCTGTGCTTATTTGATTAAAAATACAGTCAAAACAATAATATTTAAATATTGTTTCAATTTAAAATAATTGTTTTCTTTTAGGATACATTTTAAAATGTAATTTATTCCCGCGGTGCAAAGCTGAATTTTCATCATCATTACTTCAGTCTTCAGTGTCACATGATCCTTCAGAAATCATTCAAATATGCTGATTTAGTGCTCAAGAAACATTTCTTATTGTTATCATCAATGTTTGTGGAAACTGTGATACTTTTTTTTTTTTTTTTGCTAATTCTTTGAATAGAAAGTTGATTTAAAATAGAAACATTTTAAGTTTTGGAACATTCTAAATGTACCGTCACCTTTGATCAATTCAATGCATCCTTTCGAAATAAAAATATTAGTTTCTTTTAGACTTTTGAAAGGGAGTGTACGTGAGCTTATTTAGAGTATTTTAAGAATATGCTAACATAAAAAAGCCCTCAAAAAAAGCTTTAGTTGTTGTAATATTTCAGCTTTAAACATCCAATCAGATCGTACAACTGTACATTTTTAAAGTAGAATTACAAACGTGTCTGTACTTCGTCACCTTCCTCTCGGGATTCACTTATGAACTCTTTAAGACACCTCAGGGAATTCTGGAGCCCAGCCAGCCAATCAGAGCGCTGCGTCGCTGGTGGCTGCCATTTCAACTACCTCATGCCGCACTTGGCAGGTGACAGGCCTCCCCACATGTTCCCTAGTCTTTTTTCCGCTCCCGTCATTTCTGTCTCTTACCTCCGGTTGATCCCCAGGCAGCAGCTGGTCATGGGGACCGGTTACTGCCGTCAGGAAGTGTCTGGCTATTGCTGGCTTACCGCCACCCCTCGCTGCCTATCCGCTATCATCATGGCTTTCTGCTCCCTCCTGTACTGGATGAACTCCCGTCAGAGAGTGGGCTGCGTTCAGTCAAAGCCGGGGGAGGAAGAGCAAGTGTGATCGCTGAACACGCTCTTTAATTTATGGAGTGTTTTCTGGAAAGAGATGGGAAAGGTTTTGACATAAGTGCGTGTTCGTGGACCAGTCGAGATCGCGCCATGGGGGCGGCGAGGCCTCAGGGTACGGATTGTCACTGGATGTTTCTACAGAAATGAAAAGCATTGTCTTTTCATCTGTAGTAAGAGGCACCGTATGGGTTCGGTAACACACATTGGATCCAGAGTCGGCTTTCGAAGCATTTCCGAGCTTTTGACAGCAGCGATAAAGTTATCCAGAGGTGATAAAACAGCTTTGTTCTACCTTCCTGTAGTACTGTGAAGACCATTATCGAGTTTTACATGTCTACGATGTGATCCATCTTTGTTTAATAACATTTTCTTTCGAAAAAATATATTACTACTGACCCCAAACGTTTGAACGGTAGTTTAAGTTAATTTTAAGTATTTTAAGAGTATGCTAACATAAAAATGACCTAAAAACTAAGACTAAAAGCTTCAATTGTTGTGATTTTGCATTTTTAAGTATAATTACACTAGTAAAACACTTTGACAGTCATTCTTATCTTCATTACAAACGTGTCTGTATTTCAGCTTTGTTTTGTCTTCCTGTAGCTCCACAAAGACCATTGTCAAGTTTTATATGTCTACAGTTTAATGCATATTGCACTAAATGTAAAAAAAAAAAATCCCTTACTGAATCTAAACTTTTGCATGATGTAAGCTAATTTTGAGTGTTTTAGAAGTACGCTAACATAAAAACATCCTGAAAAATGATCTATTGTTGTAAAATTTTATCTTACCGGGTTCAAATATTGCTCATCCAATCAGTTTTGCGTCACAGCTATTAATCCAATTTTGCATCACAACTATTAATTTTACAGTTGTACAGTTGAAGTACAATTACACCATTAAAAGTATTTGACTGTCATTTTATGTTCATTACAAACTTGTCTCTATTTCAGCTTTGTTTTGCCTTCCTGTAGTTCCACAAAGACCGTTGCCGATTTTTACATGTCTACAATTTAATGCATATTTGCTGAATAACATTATTTTTGAAAAGAGAAAAAAAGAAAAAAAAAACATTACTGACCTTTAACTTTTGAATGGTAATTTATATAATTTAATTTGGGGTATTTTAGAAGTAACATGAAAGTGACCTCAAAACTTACAGTAATTGTTATTTTATTTTAACAGCTTCAGACATTGCTCATCCAATCAGATTTTGTCACAGATATTAATTTTATAATTGTGCATTTTTAAATCCAATTGCACAATTTGTTTTTGTGATCAACTGTTTATTGTCTTTTAAATATGAACAAAATAACATAATCAGAACAAACATGGAAGAAGGAATAACAGATATATTGTCAATAATTTGACAGACGGACAAGAAGACCAATTACACCATTAAAAGACTTTAACAGTTATTCTGCAAGCATTACAAATGTGTCTGTACTTCATCACAGATTGTCGTTGGAAGCTTTCACAAAAAAGCGCAAAAATCTGCGAAAACTGTACAGTGTTGAGGTACTGTGTGGGTTTGGTTAAGTTGGATCCACAGTCAGCAGTCGTAGCGTTTCCAAGTTTTTGACAACAGATTAGATTCGGATAAAGTCATCCAGAGGTGATAAAACAGATTTGTTCTTTGCGGCTTCAAAACTAATAGACTAAAACCCTCAATTGTTGTGATACTTCAGACATGGCTCATCTAATCAGATTTTGCGTCACTGAGTATGCATATTTAAAGTACAATTACACCATTAGAAGACTTTGGCAGGCATTCTACATTCATTACAAATGTGTCTGTACTTCATCACTGATTGCCATTCGAAGCTTTAACAGAAACACAAAACATTGTCTTCTCTACTTGAAATCTCTATGGCAAGAGGCAACGTATGAGTTCAGTTACACAAATTGGATCCAGAGTCAGCATTCGAAGCATTTCCGAGCTTTTGACAGCAGCGTATAGACACAGATAAAGTTATCCAGAGGTGATCAAGCAGCTTTGTTCTGCCTTCCTGTAGTGCCTTGAAGACCATTGTGGAGTTTTACACGTCAGAGAGAGAGAAAAAAAACAGAACTCAGAACAGAACACCATCGCCATACCTTCAACGAGATAAAAATCTTTAATTAAGATGTAAATCTGGGATTGATGGAATAATTAACGCAAGCCTTTACCGCACCCATCGGAAAATTACATTTGTTTGCATATTAATAACATATCCCCAGACTTTACATGACCTTGTGACAGCCGCTGTGCAGCGCAATTAGCAGCAGATCAAGCAAAGCAATGGATTTAATGGTCGACGTGTTCATTGAGCGCACACCCCATTTCTAAACTCCAAAGAGCCTGACCTTTGACCTCAACCGGCTCGTCACCCGCCCGGCCACAGTTTCTTCATGCTCCGATGACAGATGTGTGAATGAAAAAATATGATACATGGGAGTCTGACAATACATCGGCGACTCCGCTGTCTGCCGTGTGGCTTTGTGCCGCTCATACTAGTGCGACTTTGTGGAGTCGATGGAAACTGTTTGCTTTGACAGTGTAAAAAAAAAAAGGCAACCTTGAGACACACCGGGTACACAAGTGTCTCAAGCGCTCAGGGCTGTCGAGTCTGTTTTATTAAAGTAAATCTTTGAGAATCTCAGTATATTAACTCAGGTTTCGTATTGCATGGTGATTGTTTAACTCCCACTGGTTAAATATACAAAAAGTGACCTTTTTTGAGTTCCTGTTTCAGCCTAGTAAAATAAAACAATGCTGAATAACTCATAAATGACTTGTGCACTAACGCATTAGTGGGATAATTAACAGTACAGAGATTGCCGGTTCAACAAGGTTTCTGTCAAAAATAATTGAGCTATCTTTGACATCACAGTGGTTTGTTGATTATTAGGACCATTGCTTTGTTATGCTGTTGAATTGAGGGATTCTGAGGTAATTACTGTGGCTTTTTAAAATCTGATTTTACAGATTATGTATTGCTAATATTCTTTCAGCTAAATGTGTATATTTTCTAAAGAAAATGAGAGGTTCCTGCCCACTCAAACTCATTTACTTAACAAATCGCACAATTTAATGTCATTCATAATATTTCATACTTAATGTTGGAGATTTGATTAAACCACTAACTCTAAAGGTCCTTGCACACTGAGTCCGAAATTTTTGTATGTTTTTTCGTATTCGTCCTCCTAAAAATTCGTCACGCACAGAAACCTTGCACACTGAGTCCGATGCGTTTTAACTAATCCGTTGCAAAAAAATTCACAAAACAGTAGGCTACTAAATGCAGTCTTCAAGCAGTGAGGATGATTTTGTTGTCCTCTCGCTTCTTAAAAAGAGAAAAAGAAAGGAAATATTGGGTTCATCCAATCCTGAGATATAGAGAGGAAGGAGAGTTCCATCTCCTTATTAAGGAGCGGGATTATCACAGGCGATACAACGTTTACTTCAGGATGTCGGTGGCTTAGTTTGATGCTTTGCTAGCGATACTAGAGCCACATATTAAAAAGAAGACCACCAATTTCTGTGAGCTCAGTGTGCAAGGATCTTTACAGTGCTTTGTGCTGTGAGACAAAGTGGATGAACTTGACAATCGCCATTCTGGATTTTGGCGTTCGCTTGTACAGTGACTCGGTATGCAATGGCCTTAAGTATTAAAGGGGTCATATGATGCGATTTCAATTTTTCCTTTCTCTTTGGAGTGTTACAAGCTCTTGGTGCATAAAGACGATCTGTAAAGTTGCAAAGACTAAAGTCTCAAATTCAAAGAGATATTCTTTATAAAAGTTAAGAGTCAGCCACGCCTACCTAAAACGGCTCATTCTAACACGCCCCCACATGTCTACGTCACAATGTGGAAGATTTGCATTACACTGCCCAAATGTTCACGCAATAAAAGGCGTAACTTTAATTCTTGCTGTTGCCGCCGCTGCCATGTCATGGAGACGCTGTGTGTTTCGTTGTGAAAGCGAAACTACTTTGTTTGGTCTTCCAAAAGAGGACACAACTAGAAATTGGTGGTCAAGTTGTATTTACAACACTGTTCCAGAACAGTTCAACCCAAATATTCAGATGTGTGCAGCGCATTTTATGGAGGATGAGGACTGTTTCCTGAACCAGTAGCCTACACTGCGTCTGTGGCACAAAGGCTGTTTCTATAAAGTTGGGCATTTCCAACTTTGCAAGGACAGTCTGGCGCTTCTGACTCACAGCCTGTAAGTGCATTTTTTATATTTAAATAATTTGCCACTGATGATTCAAACGAGAGTTTTGAGCAGTGTAGAGTAGAGCTTGGTTTTATGTTTACGCAGCGCGATACGCAACGCGTAAAAAGACAGTATAAGTCATTGTAATCAGTAATTATGTCCCCACTGGATGCAACAAATGCCTAATTTGTAATGGGTTTTATTGGTTTTGTCTCGTCCTGCTGGGAGACGGCATCACAGTATGTGTTAAGGGGCATAACATTTCCATCACACGCTTGAGGCATTCGGCCAATCACAACGCACTGGATAGCTGGCCAATCAGAGCACACCTCGCTTTTCAGACTGATGAGCTTTGTACAAATCAACGCGTTTCAGAAAGGCGGGGCATAGAGGAGAAACAATAATGTACATTATATGGAAAATAATGTGTTTTTTGAACCTTAAACCGCATAAATACATTGCATTACACCAAATAATGTTCTTTTTAGCAACGTCATATGACCCCTTTAAAAAATAAATGCAATCTAATAAACGGTGTTATCTATAAATTAAACAATGTTATGTCAGTATTTTATATAAACATAAATGTATCAATTAATAATAAACACCCCATTTTGACAACATAATGTACACAAAAAAAATTTGTGTTGAAACAAATTTGCTAGTAAATTTCACAAACAACAACGCAAAAGTAACACATTGAATTAAATGTGGAATTTTGAAGTAGAAACACTTTACTCCAATAAAATGTAAATGTACTTCAATAATCATTTGTACAGTGTA